GCAAGAGAGATATTGAGACTGTAGAACATATTTTCTTCCAGTGTGAACCGGTACAAGAATGTTGGCTCATTTTTCCGAGCTGGCTCAAATCTAAAGATATATTGGTACACCCTATAAATGTGATGTTGATTAAAGCCACAGTACTTATGAAGGATAAAAACGTGGACTTTCTATTAAACAACTTGATTTTGTTGAGTAAACACTCTATTCATTAATGTAAATATTTGAGAGCTAAACCTCATATCAACGGATGGAAGAATTCATTCAAAGTTTTTGCGAAATCGCTCAAATACGTGACGGACAATAACGCCCAGAAACTTTTGTCATTATTGGACTTATGTATGTTGCTTGAATAGGACTCGCACACTTTCGTAAAGCAAAAACATACATTTTGTATTCGGTTTTAGTTTTAGTTTGCTGTATGTTGTTTGTATTTTTGCACTGTATCAACACCAATTTAAATTGTTGACTGTTATAATGAGCCTTGATGGTTTGTAAGAGAATTGTGTCGATAAAAAATAAAAAATATACTGTAGTCCTCAAACCAATCAGTGACTTCCAAGGAGACTTCTTGAATACAGTCTTTGCTCAATATACTGTACATAAACAAACATTCATGCTCATACCTGGCATCCCAGGCATCGATGCAGCCGGGCAGCACTCTTTGGCCACCAGCGAGGAAATGGCGAATGACAGCAAGGCACCGATCACGATAAACGAACGATGGAGCATGATGAGGAACCTGACAAGGAGACAAGGCACCAAGGAGACATGAGAGGAGATGATAAAACTGAATATGATGGGAAATTGGGAGGTGAGCTAGGGAATGGGATGAAAGGAATAAAGGAATAGACGTTAGGAGACAAACAGGACGGGAAAGTCGACCTTATTTCAGTTAATTATCAGCAGATTTTTTTATTTTCGTACATAGATATATCTTAAATATTTTTGCATTAATAAAGGACAGAAGAAAAAAGGAACATCAATGATCAAGGCGTGTTAAATCTCAACTAATGACGCTTTATAACGTTTATATTACTGCCACATTTAATTCCATATTTTATTCCTTTTTATTCTATTTCTATTGAAATACTGCCATATTTTACTATATTTTCAATTATTGCGAATATTCTTTTATGTTATTTTTTATATATGTTATGACATCAAGTCAAATTCCTCGTACGTGTAAACCGACCTGGTACTAAACCTGTTTCTGATTCTGATTTAATAATTCGCTTAATTGTTCAGATTATGATGAAAATAAAAGTTCCATCCTTAACCCTAACCCAGTTAGTTACCCAAAAGTACACAATCATAATGATTCCCAGATTCACTTTCCATAATACATGTAATTGACTTCAAGCAAGTAATCAACACATAAACATTGCAAATATAAAAGTTAAAACTCACCGTAGAGAACAGATAGATAGAAGAATCAAAAGCACCTCGGGTAGTTTCTAGAAAACTGAAGTGAAGCCGCAGCCTGAGGAGGAAGCCGACAGAAAACACGATTCAGCAGCTTTAGGTCGAGAATCATTTATTCAGAGACCTTAGCATTCAGTTCTGCAATTGTGGGAAGTTATTGAGAGTTTTAGAGACACAGATTTTCTCTGCTTGCCACAACACGAGGGAATCAGTCCTTACATTTATTTTGTGTTTCTTCTTTGTATTTAACTACTTATCAGCTATAGTATATCCTGCACAACCAGAGGTGGAATAAGTACTTACACTGAACAAAAATATAAACGCAACACTTTTGTTTTTGCTCCCATTTTTCATGAGATGAACTCAAAGATCTAAAACATTTTCTATATACACAAAATAACCATTTCTCTCAAATATTGTTCACAAATCTGAAAAAATCTGTGATAGTGAGCACTTCTCCTTTGCCGAGATAATCCATCCCACCTCACAGGTGTGCATATCAAGATGCTGATTAGACAGCATGATTATTGCACAGGTGTGCCTTAGGCTGGCCACAATAAAAGGCCACTCTGAAACGTGCAGTTTTGCTTTATTGGGGGGGGTCTGGGGGGGTCCGAAAACCAGTCAGTATCTGGTGTGAGGGGGTAGGGGTAGGGGTAGGGGTAGGGTTAGGGTTAGGGTAATGTTGTGAATCGAGTGGCCCATGGTGGTGGTGGGGTTATGGTATGGGCAGGCGTATGTTATGGATGACGAACACAGGCCACTCGATTCACAACATTAACCTAACCCTAACCCTACCCCTACCCCTACCCCTCACACCAGATACTGACTGGTTTTCGGACCCCCCCAGACCCTCCCAATAAAGCAAAACTGCACGTTTCAGAGTGGCCTTTTATTGTGGCCAGCCTAAGGCTCACCTGTGCAATAATCATGCTGTCTAATCAGCATCTTGATATGCCACACCTGTGAGGTGGGATGGATTATCTCGGCAAAGGAGAAGTGCTCACTATCACAGATTCTTTCAGATTTGTGAACAATATTTGAGAGAAATGGTTATTTTGTGTTTATAGAAAATGTTTTAGATCTTTGAGTTCATCTCATGAAAAATGGGAGCAAAAACAAAAGTGTTGCGTTTATATTTTTGTTCTGTGTAGATCCTTTGCTTAAGTAAAAGTAGAAATGTTTTTTTCTGAAAATACTCCACTACAAGTGAAAGTCCTGGATTCAAAATGTTACTTAAGTAGAAGTATAGAAGTATTGTCATCTAAATGTACTTTAGGTATCAGAAGTATAAGTACCACTTATGCACAGTGGTCGTTTTCAAGGTATTATATTATTATATATAATAATTTACAAATACATGTAAGAGCATTTAAATGTTATAGTTTGTTTATATTTAGACAATTCTAGTTTTTCTTTCTTATGCATTGGCATTACAATATTGCATCATATCATATACAAATGTCATGTGTTTTTATATGTAAACAGTAGATGGTAACTATGATGTGTTTAATAACTGTAGTGGAGTAGAATAAGTATAAAGAACGACAAAATAGTACTTGTCCACTACTGTGCACAACAATAAACGATATGATTTATTTTGACCATTTATTTTGTAGTCACATTACAGGCTTGAGGAATAGGGCTAGGGAGCTTTTTGGTTTCGTTTCTGTTATCCTTGTAAAGAAAACATGTTATTTCTTCCATCAAAATGTACATTACACAATGGTAAATTCAAAATGTTTATGTATTGGTGTCTCTCGATCTTGTCATTATTCATACAATGCTTTTACTGCATGTCACTTTGTTTATGCCAATAAAGCAATGTATCTTTTGTTGAAGGCTTTGGCAACAACATGCTTAAGTTCCACTAAAACTAATATTATAAAAAATACAAAAAAATTGAATTATAGAAGAGAGAAAGACGAAACTATATATTTAGAATAGAATAGAATAGTTTAATGTCATTATACATGTACAATGAGATAAATGCTTCTCCCTGCCATCAAATCAAAAACAAAACATCACAACATAAGACAACAAAATACACGCAGCATACATACTTAGGAATAAGGGATAAAGGAATAAAGAGTAAAGTGCAGTAATTATTTCCAGGAGTATAAAAATAAAATCTGTAATGTAATAAATAATAATAATAATAATAATAATAATAGTGTGTATTTATAATAATAATAATAATAATAATAATAATAATAGTAATGATATATATGTATATGTACAGAGTCACATTGATTCACATGTCAGGTGTTAAGATCAATGATGGCTCTTGGGAAAAAACTGTTTTTGAGTCAGTTTGTTTTGGATGTGATACACCTGTAGCGCCTGCCGGAGGGCAGCAGGTTGAACAGGTGAAAGCCGGGGTGTGAGCTGTCCTTGATAATGTTTTTGGCTCTTCTGAGGCAGCGGGAGGTGGACATGTCCATCAGGGAGGGGAGAGGGCAGCCGATGATCCTCTGTGCTGCTTTTACGACTCTCTGGAGCCTCATCCTGTCGGCCTCAGTGCGGCTGGCGTACCACACTGTGATGCAGTATGTCAGTAGGCTCTCGATGGTAGAGCGGTAGAAGGTCACCAGCAGCTTAGTGGCCAAGTTGTTCTTCCTGAGCACCCTCAGGAAGTGCAGACGCTGCTGGGCCTTCTTGATGACAGCTGTGGTGTTGTCCTTCCAGGAAAGGTTGTTGGTGATGAGGACGCCGAGGAACTTGAAGGTGTGACTTTGTGACTTCAGGCTGAGAAAGTTATTAAGGCACAAACTTTTTTTAAACGTCTTTGTTTTCTTCCTTTCCTTGAATTCGTTGACAATAACAAAAATACAGAATATCACAATGATGTGCTGATGGAGCAACATGAGGTCAACTGAGGGGGTTAGAAAGTGTTAAAAGTTTACCAAAAAGAAGAAGTGTGCAAAAAAAACGGTTTCACTTCCATAACTTACAGGGGTCGCATGAAACTGTACAAAATAAAGTTTATGGTGGAAAAAAATGACATTGGGCTTACAACAGACATCCTTCACTCTCCACCACTTAACAGTAATTTCCTTGCAAAGATGGATGACATCCAGAATGTGGTTAGCCTAGCTTAGCACAAAGAATGGAAGTAAAGGGAAACTGCTAGCCTAGCTCTGCAGATCTTCTTAGTTTGGTTCATTGTTTTTATCTCATTGGGGAAATGTACCTTGCAGAAGAGCACTTTGTGTCAGGTTGGATAAGATAATTTAATAAGTAGTAGAACCTTTATTTAGCCAGGAAAATCAATTAAGAACAAATTCTTATTTTCAAGATCAGAAAGTGACAAAGGTAACATTCACTTTTGTGCAGATTAAGCATGTTATTGCACCTGTGTACCTGACCTGTTCTGAAGGGTTTCAGTTCAGAAGTATTGTAACAAATAAGTGATGTAAAAAGATTGTTTTAATTGTCTACACTTTCTTGATCAGCATAAATATGCTTTGGTGAGTTTTATTCTTCCCCCTCCAATTTTAATTCTACCTGAGACGACATTGCACCAACAACATTTGGAAAACATTTAATATTAACACACACACACACACACCATCAATAATAAAATCTTCTTTTATTTTAGTTGCATGTACGAAGGGTTCAGAGATATTCCTCTACTGTTTTATGGAGAATTCCCCCTTCTGAAAACTGCTTTATGTGGTCTCAGATTTGGGGAATTCCTGTGTAAATGATTGCACTTTATTCTAGATTTCAGAAGAGCAGGAAGCCGCTGAAGATGATCTGTTTGGCTTGACTGTCTCTATATTCAGTGGGTTTCTGCTGGTCTCTGAAGGACTCGAGCCAAACCTTCTGTCCAGCCGTCAGCTGAAGAACTACGCCACCCGACAGCACCTGAACACAACACGACACAGAAAATCAGGTAATTACACATGAGTGGTGGAGGGATGGCACATTTGGACGTTTAGAAATGTAATCTCCAGTAGTAAAACGCTAGGACATAAAAGAACTACAGCACGGTCACATGACTTCACGTCACCACCGCTAAGCTAGAGGTGGCTAATGTTGGGCTATAAAGGAACTACAGCATGGTCACATGACTTCACATCACCACCGCTAAGCTAAAGGTGGCTAATGTTGGGCTATAAAGGAACTACAGCACGGTCTCATGACTTCACATCACCACCGCTAAGCTAAAGGAGGCTAATGTTGGGCTATAAAGGAACTACAGCACGGTCTCATGACTTCACGTCACCACCGCTAAGCTAAAGGAGGCTAATGTTGGGCTATAAAGGAACTACAGCACAGTCACATGACTTCACGTCACCACCGCTAAGCTAAAGGAGGCTAATGTTAGGCTATAAAGGAACAACAGCACAGTCACATGACTTCACCACCGCTAAGCTAAAGGTGGCTAATGTTGGGCTATAAAGGAACTACAGCACGGTCACATGACTTCACGTCACCACCGCTAAGCTAAAGGAGGCTAATGTTGGGCTATAAAAGAACTACAGCACGGTCACATGACTTCACGTCACCACCGCTAAGCTAAAGGAGGCTAATGTTGGGCTATAAAGGAACTACAGCACGGTCACATGACTTCACGTCACCACCGCTAAGCTAAAGGAGGCTAATGTTGGGCTATAAAGGAACTACAGCACGGTCACATGACTTCACGTCACCACTGCTAAGCTAAGGTGGCTAATGTTGGGCTATAAAGGAACTACAGCACGGTCACATGACTTCACGTCACCACCGCTAAGCTAAAGGTGGCTAATGTTGGGCTATAAAGGAACTGCAGCACGGTCACATGACTTCAACGTTACCACCGCTAAGCTATATATTTGTAGCAATAAAAGAGCCTCTATAAAGACGTGTAGCCTACATAATTACTGGCTGTTATTCTGTAATTAAAATAATACACTTTTTGTCAAATGATTCCATAGTGAACTGAAAATGTTTAGCATTTTGTAAAGTTATTTCAAAAATAGTTTTTATAAGGGTTATCACAACAAAGCCGAGCCGGCCAGCTAACCAATCAGAGCAGACTGGGCTCTGCTTTCAGACAGAGGGTGAAAAGAGGTGCTGCAGCACAGACAGTATGAGAAAACTAAAGAGCTTTTTGAACATTAAAGCATGGAGACATGTTGAGATACTACATACTGATATACACCTGAACATCAGCAGGAGAGGACTCTTTAAAGTAGAGACACTACATACTGATATACACCTGAACATCAGCAGGAGAGGACTCTTTAAAGTAGAGACACTACATACTGATATACACTTCAACATCATCAGGAGAGGACTCTTTAAAGTAGAGACACTACATACTGATATACACCTGAACATCAGCAGGAGAGGACTCTTTAAAGTAGAGACACTACATACTGATATACACCTGAACATCAGCAGGAGAGGACTCTTTAAAGTAGAGGCACTACATACTGATATACACCTGAACATCAGCAGGAGAGGACTCTTTAAAGTAGAGACACTACATACTGATATACACCTGAACATCAGCAGGAGGAGGACTCTTTAAAGTAGAGACACTACATACTGATATACACCTGAACATCAGCAGGAGAGGACTCTTTAAAGTAGAGACACTACATACTGATACACACCTGAACATCAGCAAGAGAGGACTCTTTAAAGCAGAGACACTACATACTGATATACACCTGAACATCAGCAGGAGAGGACTCTTTAAAGTAGAGGCACTACATACTGATATACACCTGAACATCAGCAGGAGAGGACTCTTTAAAGTAGAGACACTACATACTGATATACACCTGAACATCAGCAGGAGAGGACTCTTTAAAGTAGAGACACTACATACTGATATACACCTGAACATCAGCAGGAGAGGACTCTTTAAAGTAGAGACACTACATACTGATATACAGATGAACATCAGCAGGAGAGGACTCTTTAAAGTAGAGACACTACATACTGATACACACCTGAACATCAGCAGGAGAGGACTCTTTAAAGTAGAGACACTACATACTGATATACAGATGAACATCAGCAGGAGAGGACTCTTTAAAGTAGAGACACTACATACTGATATACACCTGAACATCAGCAGGAGAGGACTCTTTAAAGTAGAGACACAACATACTGATATACACCTGAACATCAGCAGGAGAGGACTCTTTAAAGTAGAGACACAACATACTGATATACACCTGAACATCAGCAGGAGAGGACTCTTTAAAGGAACATGTTTAAAAGTGGCTCTGAAACTGACCTGATCAGTGTTCCTGTTGTAATCACAGAATCCCAGGCTGTTGGTCAAAGCTGGGCTCGCTATATTCAGACACATGCTCACCTAAAACAGACAAACAAAACAACTGTAAAGGAGTTTGAAGAATGGAAGTGCAGATTACAATGTAATGTACAATCTTATCACAAGTAGTGTGAGAAGTATTCAGATCCTTTACTGCCGTTAAAGTACTAATACTGCTCTGTGAAAAGAATGCAATACAAGTAAATACTCATTCTACAGAAAAATGGTGTCCATATGTGGTATATTACTAAATATATGACCTTATTAGATGGTTAATATTGTTGCATCAAGGAAAGTATTACTGTTGCAATAAAGTTCAGATATACACATATATATAATTCATTGACAAAATAATGTGGTAACATTTTTACTTTTGAACCACAGTATTTAAAATAAGATCACATTCCACCACTGCAGATTACATAAAGAAACCTGTTCTTTTGTCCAATGAATGTCTGATAATGTATATTAAACATTTATTTTCATTCGAAGATCTGCAGCAGATTAAAAAACACTTTACCTTGGCCATAGAGTGGAAGGTGAAGTAATAAACTCCGGGGATTCTGCAGGTGAAGTGACCTGTGGCCTCGTTAAAGTCCTTATCGCCGCCCTCAGGTGTGTTTACCACGGCAGGCTCGTATGTTATCGGCTGTAACACACACACAAACACACACACGCACACGCACACACAGGTTAAGTCACAGGTGAATGATTATGTTGTTAATTAAGATACTCTGCAGATTTTAAAACATTTAAGAGACTGCACCTGTCCAAAGCCAGGATAACTGTTGTGAGTCCGAATCGCTGAGAAGGCTGATCGAGCCATCTGAGCCCCCTGTCCTCCTGAAACACACACACACACACACACACACACACACACACACACACACACACACACACACACACACACACACACACACACACACACACACACACACACACACACACACACACACACACACACACACACACACACACACACACACACACACAAACAAGGGAGCAGGAAGTGAAAATATGCTGACTCATTTCCGGGTTTTAGGACTCATTCCTCATTTAATTTAAATGTTTAAACTAGGGCTGTCATTCGATTAAAATAGTTAATCGCGATTAATCGCAAATTAATCGCACATTTTTGATCTGTTCTAAATGTACCTTAGAGGAATATTTTTCAAGTTTTTAATACTCTTATCAACATATGAGTGGACAAATATGCTTTATGCTAATGTTTATTATCATTTGAACGATGACAAATATTTTCATGAATATTAAACACAACAACCTGTGTGTGTGTGTGTGTGTGTGTGTGTGTGGTGTGTGTGTGTGTGTGTGTGTGTGTGTGTGTGTGTGTGTGTGTGTGTGTGTGTGTGTGTGTGTGTGTGTGTGTGTGTGTGTGTGTGTGTGTGTGTGTGTGTGTGTGTGTGTGTGTGTGTGTGTGTGTGTGATGGATCATTGGAGCTATGTGCAACTCAAGGCATATGCTCGAACCGGAGCTGCCTGGACGCTGCAATCATGTTGCACACTATCCGTGCTGAGTGTGCTGACTTCTCGTCCAATGTCCCACTGTCTGGCTTCCTGCATAAAGTCAAGTGCTCGGCGCAGTTGTGGCGAAATGTCGCTCCTCTGTTTTCATCGAAACAGCTCCTTATATCCGTTAGCGCAGCTAGCTAGCACCAGATGCTAACAACAACAATGCACTCTCGCTCGCTCGGGCCACACATACACACACCCTCCCGGTCCTCCCAATGGCCAGTCGGTGCCTGCCGGTGAGCGTGGAAGTGTGGTCTGCAGCAAGCGGGCGGCAGGAGCGGGGCTGTCAGCATCAGCTTGTAGATGGTATTTTAAACTCGATGCGCTCTGAAACTACGGGGTGGTCGAGGAAAAAAAATACACATGCATTAATCGCGTTAAAATAATTAGTGGCATTAATTTTTTTTTGCGTTAACGCGTTATTAACGCGTTAACTTGACAGCCCTAGTTTTAATGCATGCTTCTTAGGTAACATTAAGCTGTCTTTGGCCCCTTTTCTGCTGTAACAATGTAAATGACTAATACAAGTATTCTGATTCTGATTCCTGCACCACTCTTTTGTGTATTATCTAGTATGGTTTATACTTTAAGTCGTATCCTTACCAGAGATGATGCCCTTCCCCTCGGCTCCGGGGCGACCGGGCTCTCCAGGTTGTCCCGCGGCTCCCAGATGTCCTCGGTACCCTTTAGGACCCATGACCCCCTGCTGGCCTCGCCCACCCGCCTCCCCCTTCAGCCTCCTCAGGACCGCCTCATCCACCGGACCCTCCAACATCACCGCTGAAACACACACACGTTAACGATTAAACTGCAGTAACTCACTCTGTGGCCACTAGGGGGCGTCAGAAACAAGATGAGAACCAATTAATTATCTTTTAGTAAACCTAGGTCAATTTAATAGATATTACATTATTATAAGTGGGTTAGGGGTTAGAAGTAGCAGATATTTGATCGGTACTAAAACTAAAAGTACTCCTTATACAGAATGACAATTTTCATAATAGCGTATTGACCCGAATACAAGACCTCAAGATCTGAAAAAGAGGGTTCGTCTTATATTCTGGGTCTAGACTTTTCAATGTAATTACACAGTCACAACAACAGATCGCGCCAAACGAGTGTTCTCCCAAGCGAGAAACCGTCTTAAAGTACGGTAACAGCAACAGGAGAGATAGAGATGGAGAGACACAGAGACCAACTCCGATGAAGTGGATCAAAATTAGGGAAAGTTAATAAACCACAGAGGCGAAGTTACGATGCCAATTTTAAGATAATGGTGATCAACGAAGCAGAGTCATCAAACAACTGTCGAGCAGCAAAGAAATATGGTGTTACTGAGTGTTCATTAGAAGATGGCGAGCCCAAAAAGACCGCCTTAAAACAGTCAGAGAAAATAAAATGTTCGGCGTCCGGAACAACATTTGGTCTTCCAAAAATATATTTTTCCAAAAATGATTCTTGAAAAAAGAGGGGTCGTCTTATAATCAGGGTCATCTTATATTCGGGTCAATACGGTCATATATCTATTATGGATGATAATATGTACTAGTACAATTTTGCAGCTGGTTAAGGTGGAGCTAACTTTAATTACTTTATTTTTTAACAAAATATAGCTTCATAATTAATTTGTTATTTAAATGTTTGAACCTGAGGGTGATTGCATGAAAAGACAAAACTAAATACAAATATACCTTTCTCTCCTTCCTCTCCCTTGGCTCCTGGATATCCATCTCTCCCTGGAGCTCCTGCCTCCCCCGCCCGGCCGTCTCTCTCCCCACAACTCTCATCACATCGGGCAGGAATCAGGGTGAAGACCACCAGAAACACCAGACCATAATAACCTCCCATGATCCAAAACACTGGAGAAGAACAAGGCAAGTTTATTTATACAGCACCTTTCAACACAAGGCAATTCAAAGGGCTTCACAAAAATGAAAGACATTAAGAGCATAAAACACATTAGAAACATTAAAAAGCAAAGATAATAAAACATGAATAACAAAAAGGTACATGGATAAAAGTTACAGTGCAGTGTGAGATGTGAAAAGTTAAATTAAAGCAGCGGCAAAAAGAAAAGTCTTCAGCCTGGATTTAAGAGTAGTCAGAGTTGCAGCGGACCTGCAGGTTTCTGGGAGGTTGTTCCAGATATTTGGAAATATCCCGAACCAAATTCTCACATTCCTCTAGCCCTAATCTTCCTGTGAAATTATAGTTATTTTGACACTTTTCTAACCTTCCTCTAAACAAGAACAAAACAAATAATAGAAGAAGATGAAGAAGGAGAAGAAGAAGAAGAAGAAGTTTGACTTTTTGTTATAGACAAAATCTTACATACAGCACACATTACATGATTTAAAGATAACGGTTCATTACATGTTAATTAAGATGCTTAATACCTGCAGCAAAGTTCAAGCTTCTGCAAGATGGTTTTCGTAAAAATGAACTGAAACTAATTCAAACTAATTAATCTTAAAGGAAACATTCATGCAAATGGATAATCAATTTAAAATAATAAACTATAAAATGACTGAGTTTTGTTATATTGCTGTTGACTAATGCTGTGAGTATTGAGTGTTATTTATTTTAATATTATATTAAATGTATTATATTTTATATTATTTTACTCACCAGCAAAGTTGTCTTTCTCACCGGCGTGGATTTGGAGCTGCGATGAAAAGACGAGATTTCCTCTTTTGGTGAACAGATAAAGACTTCTTATTAGAGGTCACACACACACACACACACACACACACACACACACACACACACACACACACACACACACACACACACACACACACACACACACACACACACACACACACAACACACACACACACACACCACACACACACACACACACACACACACACACACACACACACACACACAGAGCAAGGAAATGAAACTCATGATTTGACAGAAAGGAGAGCCAGTTCTTTTAGACTAATCTAACTGTGTTTGGAACCAAGTAGCACCCAATGACAACAGAGCAGAAAACAATTGCTCCTAATTGATGTTATTGTCCATAGTGAGAAGAGAAGAGTTATGTTGGAAAGATAAGATTAAACCGTACAACTTAGTAACGGAAAACAAAATGCATTGATTATTAAAAACATGACGCAGTAAAAAGTGTAAAGTCATGTTATTTATTCAATTCAATTTAATACCAATATAATATATCAATATAAATAAACCTCAGTACATTAACTCATCGACATGTACAATATACTTAATAACTGCAATGAAGTTTTTTTTCACAGCAGGTTTTTTCCACTTGAGAGTTTGTGGCGCCATCGTGTGTTTATATGATGCAACTACAGCAGAATTAAAATGTTACCTTTGTTCCAGCAGAAAAGAGCCAAAGACAGTGTAGGAGCCATTTTATGGGTGTTGTTGACTTGTCAGTTTACTTTATTTATATTTATACTGCAATATTATTTTGGACACTTGGTGGCGGGGGTTAGCCGCACTGGGTGTATAAAAGGAGGTCATAGGTGACCGGAGAGGACGAGGACACAGGAGGAAAGAGCCCGGCAGATGCTCATACCACAACCCTTGACACAGTATAATTAACCCTTAGTATGCAAAGCTAAATAAACATTATTCTAAACTGCACCAAAGGACCGGAAAATCATCTGTTTCGACTCCACTTCGAGCAATAAAATGACTAACAGAGCACTTATATACTAACAAAGGACTGGCTTATCTAAAGCCAGTTGAGTAGCACTTGAAATGTTTGGCTCTATGAAACCTGATGTACTTTATGATTCTGTTTTCTTCAAGTTTGTGTCTTCTTGGTCGAATGTACTTATTGTAAGTCGCTTTGGATAAAAGCGTCAGCTAAATGTAATGTAATGTTTGTGTCTGCGTCTGGATCACTCCTCCTGTGAAGTAATGGCAAAGGATATAGGACAATGGAACATTAAAATGGCCATTACAGACGGCGTAATGTTCCCTAAGAAGAAGCATGCATAAAATAAATATTTAAGATAAACAGTTTTAAAAGAATTACACAATTTACAAAATACACATCCTGTAACAGTTCTGATGATTTAGCAGCCAGGTATATATATAGCACAGTTATTAACGGCATATATATATATATTTATATATTGCACATAATTTGTATTTCACAACAAGGGGTGTTATAGCATAGTCTGTGTTGTTGTGTGTTGCAGACTGACATACATACAACCTGTAAAATGCAGAGATGAAGTCAAAAGGGAGAATTTATATTTCGTATATTAAATTACCAAAGCCTGAACCACGCCTAACTATGAGCTTTATCAAACGTTTTTTAGATTTGATGTAAAGCGTCTTTGAGCATTAGGAAAAGCGCTATAAAAATCCCATGTATTATTATTATTATTATTATTATTATTATTATCATCAGAAGGAAGGTCTTATACCTAAACGGATATGGTGTCTGCAGCCGGACATACACTGAAAGCTGATTCCACAAAATGCTCTGACTCCCATTTTACTTTTAGAGACTCTGGGAATAACCAATAATCCTGCTGCATTCTGGGAAAGCAATGACCTAATGGGACAGTTGGATATAATTGGCTCGTTACGACGGGTGGTGCCTTCGCATTAAGGTGGGTCAAACTCAATGTCATGGCGGGCCACGTCAGCATTATGGTTACACTCAAAGGGCCGGTTGTAACTATATAAATATACAGCACCAGTCAAACGTTTGGACACCTTCTCATTCGAAGGTTGTTGTTTTTTTTAAATGTCTAAATTGTAGATTAATACTGAAGACATCAAAACTATAAAAGAACACATGGAATTATCTAGTAAAGAAAAAAGTGTTAACATTTTTATATTTCAGATTCTTCCAATGAGCCCCCTTTGCCTTGATGACTCCTGGCTTCTCTATATACATATATAATATATATGAAATAATGTATTATATCACATTATTGGCTCTGCATTGGATTATTATCAGTTCTCGTAATAACCTCATAAATAACTACGTCTGAAAGCAGAAGTCTAGGGCAAATAATTGAAAGCAATTAATCAACAATTACACCAATTGTATAATATTCTTTGCAAGCTTCACATGACATGAGGTCACCAGGCCTTGAGCTTGACACCCATGCATTAAGGGATTTGTAGGCGTGGAGAACATAAATCCTGTTTGGAGCTCTGTCAGGGCGTCTGCGTTTTGAAGACAGTGAATAACTCATGTGATGAATCCCAACCGTCACACTGCTTTGAAATGCTTGAGTAAACACAGCTTTCCAGAGAAGAGCGATAAGAAAACACGGCCAGTTCAGTCTTGTGCTGGCCGTGTTTGAAGGGGAAAACAAATGAGACTAAACTTTGCTTTGTGTTTCATCATCAGGGAAACACAACAAGAAATATGGAAAAATATTCTGTAAAGTAGACTTATTGCATTTAAAACAACATATACACATAGGCGGTGTGTGGCGCAGTGGATAGTGCGTTGGCGTTCGGATCAGGGGAGCACAGGTTCAAACCCCACTGTAGTCAGCATGTCGTTGTGTCCCTGAGACACTTCACCCCAAATTGCTCCTGTGGGGATTGCCCACAGTATTGAGTATGTAAGTCGCTTTGGATAAAACCGTCTAACAAGTGACATGTGATGTAACATAAAATACAAATCACCTCGCTCTCATACACAACATTATGAGTATTGAATGAGAAACAGGTGAGTAAAAAATCAGGAACAAAATGTAGGAATGGGAAATATGAATTAGAATTAATGATGAATAATATTGTGATTTTGCAACTAAGACATTAACAGGATGTTCTGCAGTGCGATGCTAAACACAAGCAGGACGTTAAGCGGTACAGTTAATCAAATTGACAGAAAAATCCTGCAGTTTTTCAAATTACCAAGATTTGTTCGCATTGAGGTAAATTAAATTAAAAGGACACTTTGCAGTGCTCTTACTGGAATTACTGGGATGTTCTGCAGTGCTGTTTTCAGTTTTTATCACACAAACATTGTCATTGGTGTTTCCTTCCTTCCTTCCTCTCCTTTCCTTCTTGCATCTGAGAGTTAAGATGAATCCATTTTAGTTTCTTTAAGAGAGAACAGCTGCACAAACTGATGGTTTGTACCTTTTTTCTTGTGTTTACCCCAGGACAAAAAGACAAAATAATTGAGGACTTTTTTTGTGCAAAAGGGAGAACACAAATCAGGAGTGACACACAATAATAAATAATATATACTGATAATAATACATTATAAAACATGAGAACATGGAACAAAACTACAACATGAGGAGGAATCAATCAATCAATGTTTATTTATATAGCCCAATATTACATTACATTGCATTTAGCTGACGCTTTTGTCCAAAGCGACTTACAATAAGTACATTCGACCAGGAAGACACAACCTTGAAGAAAACAGAATCATATAAGTACATCAGGTTTCATAGAGCCAAACATTTCAAGTGCTACTCCACTGGCTTTAGGTAAGCCAGCCCTTTATTAGTATATAAGTGCTTCGTTAATAGTTCTATCGCTCGAAGTGGAGTCGAAAGAGATGAGTTTTCAGTTTGCGCCGGAAGGTGTGTAAGCTATCTGCTGTCCTGATATCAATGGGGAGCTCATTCCACCGTCTTGGAGCTAGGACAGCAAACCCACGTGTTTTTGCTGATGGGAACTTGGGTCCCCCTCGCAGCGAGGGCGCAACGAGTCGTTTGGCTGATGCAGAGCGTAGTGCACGCGCTGGGGTGTACGGTTTAACCATGTCCTGGATGTAGGAAGGGCCAGATCCATTCGCAGCACGGTAAGCAAGTACCAGTGTCTTGAAGTGGATTCTAGCAGTTACCGGAAGCCAGTGAAGGGAGCGGAGGAGCAGAGTGGTGTGGGAAAATTTAGGAAGGTTGAAGACCAGACGAGCCGCTGCATTCTGGATGAGCTGCAGAGGTCGGATGGCACATGCAGGTAGACCAGCCAGGAGGGAGTTGCAGTAGTCTAGGCGTGAGATGACGAGAGCCTGGACCAGAACCTGCGTCGCTTTCTGGGTCAGCTGGGGACGTATCTTCCTGATGTTGTAAAGCGTGTATCTGCAGCAGCGGGTTGTAGCAGCGATGTTTGCAGTGAAGGACAGGTTGTTATCTAGGGTCACACCCAGATTCCTTGCAGTCTGAGTCGGGGAAACAACTGAGGTGCCGATGTTGATTGTTAGGTCAAGAGTGGGACAATCTTTTCCCGGAAGGAAGAGCAGCTCAGTTTTGTCAAGGTTGAGCTTGAGGTGATGAGCAGACATCCACTGAGAGATGTCAGCTAGACAAGCAGAGATGCGTGCGACGACCTGGGTCTCTGAGCGGGGAAAGGACAGAATTAATTGGGTGTCGTCAGCGTAGCAGTGGTATGAAAAACCATGCGGGCTAATGACTGATCCGAGCGAGTTTGTGTACAGGGAGAAGAGGAGGGGACCAAGAACAGAGCCCTGAGGGACCCCTGTAGTTAATTGACAAGGGTCGGACTCAGACCCTCTCCAAGTCACCCTGTAGGTACGGTCTTTCAGGTATGAGGTGAGGAGGGAAAGTGCAGAGCCAGAAACTCCAAGTTTTTGGAGAGTGCGAAGGAGGATCTGATGATTCACTGTGTCGAATGCAGCAGACAGGTCCAACAGGATGATGACAGAGGAGAGGGAGGCTGCTTTGGCAGTGTGCAGTTCCTCCGTGACAGCAATGAGAGCAGTTTCTGTGGAGTGACCTGCCTTG